GTCGGAGAACAAGAAATAACATCACAACCATTTATCTGTTATCTGGGAGTGATGCTGGATGCTCGACTCAACTTCAAGCAGTAGGTGGAACACGTCAGTGCTAAAGCGTCAGTAGTGAGGGCTAGTCTCGCACGGCTGATGCCTAACATCGGAGGCTCAATGCAGAGCAGGAGGCTATTATTGTCATCAGTAGTCACATCAGTGCTTACTTACGGAATATCCATTTGGGCTGATGCACTGGAAACCCCAGAATCATGGAGAAAAGCTGGACCAATATACCGATTGAGTGCCCTACGAGTAGCTAGTGCCTTCCGCACTATATCAGAAGAAGCAGTGTGCGTCATTACTGGAACCCTACCTCTTAGAGTTCTAGCAGAGGAAAGACGGGCCCTTTACCAACGAAAAAGGTCAACTGTACTGAGTCCTGAAGAACTTAGAATTGAAGAACGGCAGAATAGCATAGGCCGATGGCAATTACAATGGGATGCTGCAGAGAAGGGTAGGTGGACGCACCGTCTCATACCTCGGATCGATATTTGGCTTAACCGGAATCACGGTGAGGTCAATTACTATCTTATGTTGCAGATGTTGTCGGGACATGGGTGTTTTCGAGAGTATCTACACCGCTTTATGCACGATGACTCTTCGGAGTGCCCGACCTGCCCGGGAGTTGCTGAAGATGCGGAGCACGTCTTCTTTGTATATCCTCGTTTCGACCCACAGCTTGAAGAGCTGGAGAGGATCCTGAACTAGAGATTGCCACCAGATTCACTAGTGGAAGCAATGTTGTCATCTGAAGCTGCCTGGAACGCTACCAACACGTTTGCAACAGAAGTCCTTAAAGGCTTGCGTTCCACCGAAAGAAGAAGAGCAAATAGCAGAGTATAGAAGGAAGGTAGTTAACACCTTAGCCACCAGAAGGAAGAGCAGTAGCTAGATCCTCCCCTCACGAAGTAATGCCTGACGGCGGTTTCCATGAGGGATTAGAGGAAAGAAGAAAGGGGTTTAGGGTTTAGTGGGTAGGGGCGTTAGCGTCGAGTTTTAGTATGACGCTGCGTCGAGTCGCCACATATCCAGGCCAACAACTATGCCTAGAATCCGTAAAAAGGATTCCCCCCCCCCTAAAGGAAAAAAAAAAAAAAAAAACACACACGTGCATACATACAGACATAGTGACAATATCGCGGAAGTAATCAGGGAAGCTTCCTGTGAATTTAAAACGTCGAGATCAGATGAATACACGATTTCTGCAAAACGGGGTAAAAACAATAACTTGCCGATTTTTGAAAATCTTCGATTCTCTTAGCACGAAATTAAAAAAAAAATTTTTTATAAAAGAGTGAGGTTAGGAAAACGGTATACTACGGTAGCTATACGTTTCATGAATGGCACCGAATAGATCGTGACGGTTACGATTCAGACTGCTACTCGTAGCTGTACGGATTGTACCCGTAACGATACACCTTTTACCATACAGTAGATGGCGCCAAGCAGAAAACTTTTTTTTCAGTGTTATGCAATTTTGTTAATACAGTGGTCCAGTTGACAGCTCCCAGCTCAGGCGGATATGAGTTTATAATCAATATTGATTATTTTCTTAATCGGAATCTTGAAGGTACATAGAAGCTGAGTAACAAATTTTTGAAAGTGACTCGAAAACTGACTTTCATATTATTCTATTGAAATTAAAATACACTTCTTTACATTTGAGATTCATCTAATCATATTGTACTACTTTAAAGTATGTTGAACGAACAATTCAAACTCCCTGTATAGTTTAATCCATAAAATACAATATATTTCTTATTTTTTACCATTTTACACCATGTAAATCAATTACAATCTAAAAATTATAATTTCTGTTTACAGATATTACGAAATTGTGCGGGATGTAAGGCCAAATAAAGGAACGATATTAAAATCTTCAGTAGAATACATTAAGCTTTTGAAAAATGAGCTCACTCGACTGAAACAATGCGAAATTAGGCATAAGCAATTAGAACACCAAAACCGTCGACTTCAACTACGTGTTCAGGAACTAGAACTTCAAGCAAAAGCTCATGGCCTTCCCGTCACAGATTTTCATTGGGCTACTACTTCTGCGAGCGCTGTCAATTCTTTTTGCAGAAGTAAAAATGATAAAAAAAAAGTAAGATACTTCAAATATTTCTTGTTTTCTTTTTTAAATACATATTTTCAAATTTCTACGGGAGAATAATTTCAAATAATACGATTCCTTCAATCGCCACAAAAACATAAAAAACAAAAAATCTGGAAAACGGTTGATCCTAAAGGCCATCCCTGCAACTTCCCGCCAATTCCATACCTAAACGCTTGAAATTGCACTTACGACGTTTCTGAACTCTTCGAGCTCAAAAAAACAATTTGTGTGTTATTTTGAGCTCTCCGAGCTCAAATAAATAGCTGTTGTATTCTTTTGAGCTCAAAAGGCTGATAGCAGTTTAATAAAACAGTATTTTTTGAATTTTCAAACTGCAATAATTTCTAAATGAATAAATCGATTTTTACGCGGTTGGCAGTATTCCACGCACTTTTTCAGAATCTATGATAAACTTTTGAACACAAACTGATTGAACCGAAATTCACTTTTTCCGAATTTTTTCGACAGCGATAACTCACGAACCAAACAACCAATTTTCACGTTCTTGGTGGCGATCGATGTGATTTTTTGGGCTCTAATAATTGTTTTATTTCGTCAAAAACGATGCGAAAAGAAATGTCGAAGTTATATGAAAAAAACACTTTTTTCGAAATTTTTCGTTTCCGATAACTCTCGAACGAATTAACCGATTCTGATGGGACTGGTGACAATCGACGTGGTTTTTTAAGCTTAAGAGCTGATTAGTTTTTGGAATTGGTCGGTCAAGCCGTTTAAAAGTTATTCCAAAAAAACGAGTTTTTCAAAATTTTATTTTTGAGATTTCTCAAAATCTAGCAAACCGAATCGATTCAAATTTTCACGAAATTTAATGGCAATGATACTCTTTGGAACCAATTTCGATCCGATCGGCCGAGCCGTTCAAAAGTTATAAGAGGTTTACACACACACACACACACACACACACACACACACACACACACACACACACACACACACACACACACACACACACATACTTACAGCCGCACGGACACCATCGCGGGAATAGTCAGGAAAGCTTCCTAGGACCTCAAAACGTCGAGATCTGATGAAAACTCGATTTTTGAAAAACGGGGTAAAAACAATAACTTCCCGGTTTTTGAAAATTTTCAAGTTTCTTAGTGGGAAGTTAATAATTAGAAGATGATTTTCTAGAAATCAAACTACTATATTTGTTTTCATGACGTAGCTTATTAAACATTTTAGTTATTTTGGTTATGACAGTTGGAAGTTTTATGGATAGCTTACATAAAGTTAACCGTTTTTCTAGATTATTTATCGCAATAAATTAATAGTTACTAGAAATACTCCTTCATCTCGCCGACAACTTGAGCTGTAATTGCAATAAACTTAGTGCGACTCAATATTTTGCTAAATTTAATAGTAATAATGATCAATTAAAATATTAGTTCTTATAAAATAATGAAGAAATATACAAAATTAAGTATATTAAAGTTGAAATAAGTAAATTTTATAAAAAAATTTTCCATATACATTAACTAAGATATTGAACTTAATACAAGTAGTTTTATTTCATGTTTTTATAGAACTATTTTCTTAATGCCAATTTCAATAAGTTTTTCCAAGTTGATAATAATTTTTTAGGTACACTTTCATTCAATTTTGGACAAGACAACATTTTTAAATCAATAAAGTTGATTTTCAAGATATCCACGCTTATTTGAGGTTATGCGTTATATGATATCATTATAATATTATAACATAGACCACCTTAATCGTAGTAATACATTAAAATTTAGCATTCCCCAATATTGCTGGTTAGAAATACAATATGGTATCACCCAATAGGTGTGACAATGAAGGTACAAGCATATACGATTTTTTTCCTGAATTAAGTTCATTTTTCTATTTGTGTGACTATTTCCAAAATTTTTCACTAGTTTTGAGATCGAAAACTTTTTCAGAATGTCAGAAATAATTGTATGGTTTAAGCTAAGTTGATATTAAGGAAGATAGTTTTTAAACTAATTACATTAATTAATATGAATTAGTTTATTAGTTATTGATTCTTGATATTATTACAGATGCCAGATGTCATGACCGAAGACACATCTGTCCTGACGTCTGTGAGCTTAGAACAATTTGAAGATCTGATGGAAGACGACGGAGGAGGTCCTGTCCATGGAGGTGATCCGATGCTGTCATCACCACACTTGCCACCTCTAAGCCCACCTGAATCCGCATGTCATACTCTACCGGATGAAGATACTCTTGGTAGCCTGGCACCTACATCGTCAAATTCATCAACTGAAATGGATATAGTGGCATAGCTGGTTGCGGCGCTTACTCATCATGTATCTTGAAAGACTCATCCTTATTACAAATTAATTTCTTATACACAATATAGTCAATCGTTATGCTATTGTGAATAATTGCTATAATCATTCAATTAAGAAGAGTAATAGGGTAGTTTATCGAAAACTTTACTGTCTGTTAATTTTACAGTATATTCGAACAGTCAGCTACTTCAGTTGAATAAATATAAAATGTATGGATGTGCTGATGTCTTTAAATTAATTTCTGTAGGCATAAAATTTTAATATTTTGCCATGTTAAAATTGGCATTGTTACATTTCTACTGAAATATTCGTATCAAATAAGACTCTCTAAAATTACTATTTTGACTTATCCATCTAGAAAATATTGTTGTCTATTCATCGTTGATTGTCAAAGAACATATTTTTAATAGTATTCTGTATTTTTTCATCTGCTACTATTTGGATGAAATAATTTATCTGTAAATATTATTGTTATTCAATCCATCAGAAATTTTCACAACAAACATAAATATCGGTAGAAAAATTGCTGATTTAGATAACTATGCACAAGAAGGTTGTTGAATGAAGAATCAACAAATGAATTTATTTTGAACAATGTAATTTTTCCAATGAAGTGTTATGATAAAACGTTTCGAGTAGAAACCGTTTAAGTGCCTTAAGAGTTATTGCCGTATTTAAACTTTTTATGTTGATCATAGTTAACATTATTGTACAATCAAATATATTTATGAGAAAATATTGTAAATCATCCCGTGGAAAAATTTTCTGATGTGGCCTGATGTGGGTTGATGTGATTATATATGACCACCTCAGGCATTATATGAGAAAAAAAATTTCATATATTTTCGAGCAAATGTGTACGTCAATTATCATGTCGTATTAGACACAAGTTGATTAAATAATCGATTAAACTAAAAACTAATGATAGTTGAGCTCTTTAGAAGGGTGAAAGGAATGGTTTTTATTTGAAAACTTAATACCTCAAACTAAACTCTTTTATTAATCCCACTAAAAGTGGTACCGACAAATTGATCCGACTGAAAACTGATCGGACTGACAACTGATCCCTTCAAGTGATAATAATAATTGAAATAATTGTAGGGTTACGAGTCGAAGCCCCGGTTGGAGTTGGGGAAAAAGCACTTAGAAAAAACAAATTGTTTTAAGAACTCGGTAAAAAATGATTTATAAATCAATTTATTATCAACAGGCTTATTTATTTCGGAATGATTCCGACCGGAATCACTGTGTGTGTGTGTGTGTGTGTGTGTGTGTGTGTGTGTGTGTGTGTGTGTGTGTGTGTGTGTGTGTGTGTGTGTGTGTGTGTGTGTGTGTGTG